CAGCCCGCATATCTTTTCATTTGGGTTTATTGAAATTCCGAGGCTAGGCATAATATATGTCATTATGCAAGCAGAGATAAACGAGTTTGTTCCAGTTGCGCCCATTGCGAGCGTTAGTTGAAGGGCGGACGCAATGGATTATGCCACTAGTAGAAGTACAGTGAAGGCTCTGTTGAGCGGACAACCCCACAACGCCAAAAGGTTTCGTTCTGCTAGATAAAGTGTCGCAGAAATAATGAAATAAGTTTGTCTTTTATTTCGATATATCATCCCAGTTGTATATATATCTCTGTATAAAAAACTGTTTGTTCTGACTGACTGAATGACTGACTGATTGAATGACTGATTGACTTATTTTTTGACTGACTGACTGAATGATATACTGACTGTCTGACTTATTGACTGATTGAATGACTGACTGACTAATAAGTGACTCACTGACTCATTGACTGATTGACTGACTGACTTACTGGCTGATTGATTGACTGACTGACTCACTGGCTGATTGATTGACTGATTGACTGACTTATTGACTGACTGACAGTCTGACTTATTGACTGATTGAATGACTGACTGACTAATAACTGACTGACTGACTGACTGGCTGATTAATTGACTGACTGACTGACTGATTGATTGACTGATTGACTGACTTATTGACTGAATGACTGGCTGACTGATTGACTGACTTATTGACTGCCTAATTGATTGAATGACTGACTGACTGACTTATTGACTGATTGAATGACTGACTGACTAATGACTGACTGGCTGATTGATTGACTGATTGACTGACTTATTGACTGACTAATTGATTGAATGACTGACTGACTGACTTATTGACTGATTGACTGACTGATTGATTGATTCGTTCGAAACCGTTGATTCCACAACTTGGTTCTTTGTTCGATGCACTTAAAACATATTTTTAAATAGAGGTGGAGGTAAAGATGGATAGATTTGCTAAGTGGAAAGGTAATATGTAAATTTTTTAGCGCACAACGTTCCACGAGCAATGCCGGGCAATACCGACTAGTATATAAATAAATATATGTACATATAAAGGAAATTTCTCAAATGAATCATTTTCTTATACCTTTTGTTAGTAGAGTTTTCACTGTACGTTGAGCCTCTAACGAGGCTAAATGCCAAAAGCAAATGGCGGCAACTGGATACTGAAAAACCGGCCTGTTCTTAAGCTGGAACTTGGACCTGGACTTGGACCTGGGCTTAGGTTTGGGCATTGAACCCGTCGAGCTGAAGATGCCACGCCCAAGGCTAAGGATATTTTTAGCACGCGCGTTTTTTTCTTTCAGAATTGCGAAAACCAACAAAGAGCATAAAATTGCAGTTTCGAGTTTTTATATGTATTTTGTGCTTTGGCCTAATTAGCAACAACTGGCAACAACTGGCAAAGGCAGCACAACATTTTGCAAGTGAATGCAACCGACTGCGCCATACTCTGTTCGCAATTAAAAAAAAACTATGAAAATCGAATGTGCTCTCCTCTATATTCTCTATCATGAGAGGGGCAAAGGAAATGAGGGGAAAAGTAACAAATATAATTACACACTTGATTTAAGATAAATTTGTTCTTAGTTTAAATTTAAAATAAACTCCCTTCATCGTGTCGGTGATGCTTTTAGAAAATTGTGTATTGTAATTAAGGCTTTCAGCATTTAATTATCATCACCTAATGTATTAAGTCATTAGCAAGATACTCGTTTTTCCGAGCATTAATAAATAAATAGGTAAATATATAAATAAATAACAAAATAAATAAAGAAATAATTAAATAAATAAAGGAATAAATAAATATATAAAAAAATAAACAATAAATAAATAAAAAAGTAAATATAGAAATAAACAAATAAATAAATGAAAAAAATAATATTTTGAGCAATAAATTTTCTGGTCGGGTAAGATAAAGATTTTGTGAATGGAGCTATTTGATTTAGGCACAAAATTCTCTGTTTCCTTTTTGCTGTCGGGGAAAATGAAGGGAAAAGTAAAAAATATAATCACATACTTGATTTAAGAGAAAAATGTGCTTACTTTAAGTTATGATTTACTAATGATTTTCTTGGTTGGGAGAGTTAAAGATTTTGTGAATTGAGCTACTTGATTTGGATGAAAAATGTTTTGTTTTCTTACTGCTCTCAGGTAGATGGCACGACAAAACCAATATACTCGCTTGAGACGCCGCGCGAACAGAGTATAATGAGCACGGGCAGCGCAAATACATAAATGCATTTGGCTTTATTCACTCGTGCACTCATTTGCAATTCAGACGGAGTCGCACAAGTTGGCCGCATTGCTGACTGGCTGGCTGACTCGCTGCTTTAGGCCAGATGTGCGACGATGTTGGCAACTGGCAACTGGCGGCTGGCAACTTGCGGCTTACTCATCGCCTGGTTCGTTGGCCACGATCCGCACTAACAGCCGGCACATAGCCACAAAGCCAGCGCCAAAGCCAAGCTGCACACATTGGTGGCATTTGTACAAACAGAAATACAAGTGCTCAACTAGGAGATACCCATTAATCAAGACTGTGCTAATTGAGTAAAAATATGATGTTACTTAACAAATTGTTTGTCATCTTTGAGATAGGCTTTAAAAACATCAGCTGAAAATCGATATTTATCGATTTCGGGTAAACTGAAGTCGATGCGTTTGTACAAAAAGAAATAAAAGTGCTCAACTAGGAGATACCCAGTACTCTAGCCTAGGTTAATAGAGTAGAAATATGATTTAACATAGCAAATTGTTTGTCATCATTGAAATAGACTTAAAAAACATAAGCTAAAAATCGATATTTATCGATTTTCGATTAATAAAAGTGATCAATTGGGAGATACCCCTTACTCAAGCCTAGGGTGAATTGAGTAAGAATATGACTTTACGCATGAAATTTATTGTCATCTCTGAAAATCGATATTTATCGATATTTCGGGTAAACAGGAGACGACGCGTGAGACCAGACCGACTCAAATGTGGATGCTAAGTAGTAAATATACTCTCTTCAGAGAGAGGCGCCTCTTATCACCTATCTATGAGGCGAATCATTTTATTTATGGAGGTATTCCTTCTTCCCTTTCATTGTAAATATCCCTCTATTTTAATATCATATAATTTACATATTAGTAATATCTTGTATACCTTTTTGATAGAGATCTGAAACTATTGATCGATTCCAGCGCAAAATAAAATAAATTTAATTGAAAAAAATATATATATATATAAATATATTTTGAACAACTGCAAGGCGCCCATTTTCAGGCATTTTCAAGGATTACAGGGTATTTTAGACAGAAAATCTAAAAAAAAACAATATAGAAAAAAGCTTCATTCAAAGTTGTTTTTCTTGGGTAATGCGAGACCATTTCGACACGATCGTGTTTCATGAGAATTATTTATTATTTTCTGCTGCGGCGGCTGCGGCTGCTTTTGGCCCCAGAGGTTGGTTCAAATTGTTAAATGCGGTTAAGCACCTCGGACAGTTGCTGCAGTGTGCGTGTGTACGTGTGTGTGTGTGTGTGTGTGAATAGATCAGACTCTGACTTTGTCTGGCTGATTGTTGCCACACACACACACACACACATGCATACACATATACATTCTTTTTCTGCTCTTTTGGCTTTAAGCCACCGAACCAAGAGCTAACGACCGCGAGCTGGGCATGACTTCATACTATTGCTTACCTACACGAATTATATACGAATTATATACATATACACACATATATATACATATATACACACATATGTATGTATGTATGTTTGCAACAAAGAGCATTGCAAAAGTTTAATTTGCTCTGAATCCGTGTTCGAGCCGTGTTCGTTGATTCATTTACCTGCGTCTATTTCACATTAATTAGTTGGACTTTTGATACCCTTGCTGAAGGTATGAGAATTTTGTCTCGCAATGTGTTACGCATAGAAGGAGACATCGCCGATCTCTTTACTTGTTATCAACATATTTTAACCATACTCGGCATTAACTATTTTCCCCTATGAGCAAAGCATTATGAAAACGTTCGGCAAGGGTATTCAAACTTCGACCTTCTTGCTCGTTTTTTACTACAAACAAACACCTTGACTTGCACTTCTCACTCGAGATGACATTTTGGCCTAAACTAACCTAGAACATAAGCTCTAAGTGGGACTTTCAGTCGTTTCAATACCCTGTAAACATTGACAGTGGCTTCAAGAGGGTGTTTTGTTTATATGCAAGTGGATGTAATAGTCAAAAGCAAAGGAATCTCGCTTTTCTCAAAGTATATATATATATTACTAACTGGGATGATAAACCGATACTTGCAGATCTCAGGGACCCTAAGAGTCAGAGAATTTATAATTTTACTTATCGTATTATTTGGCAGATCAAGTTAACTTTTCTATCTTTGATAATTCATACCGATTTTACTAATCAAAATTACATCAAATTTGCAACGGAGAGTTTCTCATATAAGAAATTTACAAGCTTATCTTTTTTATCGATAACTTCTTTAATCGTTAACTTCTCTAATCTAACCGAAATCGATAAATATTCTAAAAAATATGCCATGCATTCAAATCTAAGACGATTTTCCTTTAAAAAAAATACCCCATTTTAGAAAATATTAATAATAGCAAAAATGATATTAATTTATTTATTATTAATAAAGCAAATAGCTTTCTTTAAGCACTTAAATTGAGAACTTTCGGAGTCGAACATAGAAGTTCTTAAAGACTGTAAATTTTTATGATCTGAAGCAGAGGAAAGTATTACACCCCAACTCGCAGCTGATTGCAGGGCATCGTCTAGTCGGATATATATTTTTTGTTTTGCGAACACATTTAAATACTTGCAGTTCACGATCCTAACCCAACTCAGCCTCAAAGTGGCCCATTTATAATACTTTGTGTCATATATATGAGATATTTATGTGTGCATATATTATTTAATGATCTTCAATCATTTTGCGTATCGCCTTGATTTATTTATTCGTTTCTACTTACTTGCGAATGCAATTTCCAGTCCTTGTAGGCCTTTACAATGTAATCCATTTCCGTGTATTTTGTTGCTGTTGTTGTTGTTGTTGTTTGGCTTTATGAAAGATCTGCGTGGAAGAACGTAAAGTATTCTAAGTATGTACAATAAATATTTCACTTCACTCTCACTTATCGCCGGTCGGTCGTATGATTCTTTTTCTTTTTTTTATTGGAAATGTTGTTGATTTATTTTTCGACCATAAATCAATGGGTTTTATTTATTTTTTTTAATTTGGTCACGATTTTTAACGCTTTTATGATTAGATGAGGATATTCGTGTTGTTGTTGTTCTTGGCGCTGTTTTTATTTTTCCAATTAGACTCAGTTTATTTTTTCTATGAATTCGAATTTTCTTCCGCCGTTGCAGTTAAAACTTATGTATATTTATATGTGACCTGTTATAAGTACAGTAAAAGCTCTACTAACGAACTTTGCCAATCTTTTTGCTAACATTTTGGAAAAAAAAGTGACCTACTTTGGGCAGTCGCTTTGACTAAAGGGGATCCAATTTTAATAAAAGCGGCAAATTTATTCAAAAAATAAATCTTGAGAATTAAAAAGAATGGCAACAATATACTTTCTATTTTTTTTTTGATTCAATATAAAATACTTTTTAGATATTCATCGGTTTTCAATTATGTTTCTCATCTCATTTAGAGACCTTTCTCTGTAGTTGTCATTTAATTCTAATACGAATTTGTGCTCTCAATTTCTGCAGGGTTAGGTTTTCGGCTGTTGCAGTTATTAGTGTGTGTGTGTGTGTGTATGGGTGACTAACTGTAACTGTATATGTGTGTGTGTGTGAGTATGTGCACACATATAATGGTAACCAAGGCCAAAGATGGAACAAAAAAACCCAAAGAAATCGTTTTGTCTTTGCACTTGTGCAAATCTCCAGCGACTAGTGTGAAGGTGTGTGCGTATGTGTGTGCGGATGTAGGTGTAATGTGTGTGCGTGTGTGTGTGAGTGAGTGAATTTGTTTTCCGTCTGCGACAACGTCAAGCGACAACGAGCGACAACAACGCGTGTACCTCATTTCGTGATCTTTTGCAGTTGACGTTGTGTTTTTATCTACAAAAATTATATATTTATTTATTATTATTTTAATTTTTTGTTGCTGTTGTTGTTGTTGCCGCTGTTAAGATTTTTTTGCGAGACAACGATCCGTTTGTTTGTCGCTTATGCAGCGCACAATGGAAATGTATACAATAAATACACATGTATGTCAATGCACATACATAATGGGCTTGCATGTGTGTGTGCGTGTATGTCTGTGTGTGGGCGTAATATATAATTATTAATTGTACATTTGTTTTTGTTGCAGATGCTCTTGCTGCCGCTGCTGCTGCTGCGTCGCTTGGCAACAACTGAAGTTTCAACTGAAACGGTTTATGCGCGCTTTGCATGTATGTATGTATGAGTTGTTTTTACTTATGCATGTAGTTGTATTTTAATGGCAACCTCTTTTTTTCTGTTTTTTTTTTGGGCAGTCACTGGCACTCACAAATAAAACTGGCAGCAAAGACGGCGGTGACGGCGACAACGCGAGCGGTGCTGTCGGGAGGACCGGGGGTAGCTCAGATTTTCGCAGCGCGCACACACGACTAATACTAAACACTAATACTAACAACAACACACAGCCTGGCAGTGGGCAGCCAACCAGCTTCAAGTAACGCTCGATAACAACTGACTGACTGAACTCCAGCCCAGTGAGCTCCAACTGATGCGGCGACGGCGACAGCGACAGCGACGATCGGCGTCAAAGCTTGTGAGCACGAACAAACGAAACCTAAACGCTCTCGCGCGTACGTTCTGCCGCTCCCACGCTCTGGCGCTCTTTCACTCATTTGCACAGTGCGCCTTATTGGGCTGCCTGGAGCGAGCGCCAGAGAGAGACAGAGTGAGAAAGAGAGCAGCACTGCGTGCAATTCAAGAATTGGACTACGTTATGCAGACATGCATACACATGTGTATTTCATTTGTTTATTTGTGTTCTCTTCGACGCCTACGCTCACGAAATATGCCCAATACACACCCAAACATACATATATATGTACGCATCACAGATTTCGTTCAAGTGATAAGTATTTGTTTTTGTTGTTATCATGTAATCAAAGAGAAATCCACTTGTCGCTGACACTTTCTGAGAATTTGTATGAGTGGGGATTTAACACTCAAGCAACAGGTCGTCGCTTCATGCAAAAGAAATATGTTGCCTGCCCTTCGTCCAGTTGCTGCGTCGTCTGGCAACGCCAGCTTCGTATAATTAGCATGCCGGCAACTCCTTAAGCATATAAATATGAATACACTTTGAGAAATTTGTTCGTAAATAAAATTCTAGGTAAAGAAATTTACTTTGGTAAAATTCACAATCAAATTTTGAAATCGAAAATAATTCATACAGCATTTAGAAAATATTCATGAATGAAATGCCAGCTTATTATAGCCACTTTCTCTGAGTGTAGCCGAGCAATTGTCTATTTACAAATGCATATTTAAGAAGAGCGTGCTTTTGTAAACAAAGAGTTGTGTCTGTTTGGGTTTTTTTTATTTGATATGTAAGTTTGTAAGTGGAAATGGGGAATTTTGTTTACCTAGACTAGAAATACTCATCGATTGTTGTTACTGATTTGTTGCTCTTTGATCATGACTATCTTTTCTTCTTTTTGTTATCAAAGATAAGCGCCACCTGCTGTCGAACAAGGCAATTCGTGTTGTATGTACTGTTAGTTTGCAAAACAAAGCGAACAAAATCAACAATATCGATAACGACTATCTGTTAAACTAACCCACTAACGGTTAATGGCTGGCTGTGTGTACAAAATGCGTCAGCTCTCAATTACTTTTGCAAAAATAAAAAAATATATAATTATAGGCATATCTAGCTCTGTTGCCAGGTGTGTTCTGGAAGGTAAAAAACCGTTATGATTCAATTTCTAGCAAATAAAAGTGAAACTGTCATCTAGTCATTTTGTCGCAGAGTTTGGATCTGGGATCGACGACGTCATTATTTTGCAGCTTAAATCAACGAACCGAATGAATATTTGATTTATGAATAAAAAAAATATCGTGTTAATTGAGAAAACACGTACGACTCGTCGTCCGCGCCGGACAAATGCGCTTTTGTGTGAATTTTGCGCATCTGCCTTTTGTTGAATGTGTGTGAGAAACTCATATTTATGGTTAATATATATAAGTTGGACAAAGGCCCAAAACGGGCGAGAAATGGGCCCAGCCGCATTATGGCTCAATTATTGAATTGCAACTAATTTGAAATATACACATGACGACCCACTGATGTTGCACAGTGTATTTTTTGATTTGATTTGATTTTGTTTATGATTGGACTCTAATGTAAAATGTGAAAAACAAACTGGTTATCATCCAAAGTCAAGGCTAAACAATTTAGGACTCGGCCAACATGTAATAGCATCTGTTTATGGCTTTTGTGTGTGGCGCTAGTAAATTCGTTTACACATTCTAATTGAATTAAGAGCGGAACATTTAATTAGCAGCTGAAGTTTAACGCTACAGTCAGTGTGTACACACATGTGTGCATTTGAATTCAAATTCGCGCGCAGGTAACATAGCAAGCAGCTTTTATAGGCAACTGTTTTGTGTTTGTTGATCTGGCAACCAGCTTTCTGTCAGCTGCGCATTTGTTTTCATTGATCTGGCAGCACTAGTATTTTTTGTGGGCACACTCGCAAGGAAGAATAACAATTGAATGGTTGCATTTTTATAAATTCCCAACCAGAAATACTTGCCTTACCCTTAATGACAGCATTAGCTAATTCGCTGCATTTTGCTCTGAATAAAAGCTAGTTGGCGAATTTGTTATTAGTTTTTTATGCAGCTTCGTTAGCCGCTGCTGTCAGCTGATGCGCTCACCGGTTGCATGTCTTATTGGAATTATGTGGCTTACACAATGCGGTCACACTGACAGTTAAAACCGCAATTTCGCCCAGGTAAGACGCGTTGTCGTTGTCACCTGATTGCTCCCGCCCGTCTAAAGTGTTGTCGAAACGCCAAGAAAGATTCGAAATTTAAAGGCAACGCAACCGTTATGTGCGCGCGTGTGTGTTACTGCGCTGTGAAAGTAAAAAATTTAAACAAATTTGATTAGCACCAGCAAAAGCAACAACAACAACAACAGCCAAAAGAACGTGTGCGTGTGAGAGTGTGTGTGTGTTTGTGCCACTGTGCATGTGTCGGTGAGCTGCTAAGGAATTCCAAGAAGACCGCAAACAACAACAACAACAACAACAACAACAACAACAGCAAAAATAGAAATGTCACACAATAGACGAAGAGTGCGCACAATTGAGTACCTCACGCAAATGTCGACGGCGACGGCGTTGGCAGCGACGGCGGCAGCGGCAGCGGCGATATCGCCGCCAGCGCAAGCAGCGGAATCACCCACAGTTCTCGCTCCAGCTGCGGAGCTAGCGACGACTCCGGATCCAGCAGTGGCTCCAGTGCCACCCATAAGATTGCGACGCGAACATAACGTGGATGAGGATGTTGCAAGGTAAGCAGTTACAACTGTGTTACAACTGTGATTTTCCCGTCGGTCTGTCTGTCGTTGCCCGGCGTCGTGGAAAACCCAAAACATTTCTTGTCATCTTATAACACGCAAACACACACGCACGCACGCACACATACTTACACGAGATTGGAGCATGCATGTAACAGTGGGTGAATGCTCGCGCTCTCTTTCCCGCTCTCTCTTTCCCTGTCTCTTCCTGCACACATTTTGACTGCCGAAACGTAAACAACGTGTTGGCTGTTACGTTTTTGTTGTATTTGCGTTTTCATTTTTTTTTTTTTTCATCATTTTATTACACCACCAACTTTTTTTTTTTGGTTGCAAAAAAATTTGCAAGGCGGCAATAAAGTTATAAAAATGACTCGAAACTCAATACGCGAGCTTATTTCTTTATTATTATTTTTGGCGAAAAAGAATCTTCATAAAATGGCATTTATCATGCAAACACCAATACATGCTGTACATGCATGCATGTATGGGTGTATGGGTGTATCGGCTCTCTGTAAATTGGCTCTTCCAAGATATTGCTGATAAGAATGTCCAAATGTCTGATAAGACAAAGCACACATGCATACATATATACATACATATATGCTTATATGCATATCAGAGACATTTTTTACCTTTTCCGCTCCGCTTATTCATGCTTGAGGCAGGCGAAAAACTTGATTGTATCCGCTTTAGGGAGAATTCACTGTTTTTGATTTTTGCGTGTCTGTCGCGTGGTCTGCGCCTGTGAGCCATGTTTCCTATGAAAATTTCGCATGTCTTTTTCGTTCTTCGCTTTTAGCACGAAATAAATGTCAAACATAAATTTTGTGTAAATCGTGTGAGTGTTTTGGGGAGTCGCCTATTGAAATTTAGTGAAATTAATTTGTGTCTCCCAGTCTCACTTGTTCTTCTTCCTCTTCTTCGTCTTCGCCTTCGTCTTCGTATACCAGTTTGTTGCACTGATGAGGGCAAGCGCGGCGCGGGGGGCGCTGTAGGGTATCGATGTTAAAACGCGTTTAATACCTATGTGCACATGTGTGCGTGCGTACGTACACACACACACACACACACACATGCACACACATACGTGCGCTTGCACATTCCGCTTTGCTAACCTCTTTCGTAATGCGTTTAGCTCAACTCAACTCAACGCAAAAGTCAATTCTGTTTTGAAATCGAATTCGCTTTCTTCTCAAGTTACAGTATTGTCTTCTTCTTCGTTGTCTTCCAATGGAATTCTTAATGGAATTTGTGCGGCCGTCTGTCTGTCTGTTAACTGTTGTTTGGCAGCGAACACGTAACAGCTCACGTAGCCAGGTGCCGTTGCTTTTCCCGCACGATCAACGAGGCCGCCGAATCTTTTGCACTTGAACTTCAAATATGCTGTAAAAGCTCTCTTGAGCGCAGGCCAGCATATCCAGAGAGAGGGAGAGAGACACATGTGAGTGGGAACAGAGCGAGGGAACAGTTTGGGATAACTAAATTGCAGGCTCAAGGAGCTGCAGTCGATTGTTCCCGCTCTCCCACTCTATCTCTCTCTTTCATTTCTCTTCAGCGTAAAGTCCTTTCCAATACCTCAAATATCACATGGCCTAGCCAAAGCACACACACACACACACTATGAGATCTGCATATTTCCGCAAACACACACACACACTCCCAATATATAATAGAGCTAAAAATTTTAATTTTTCAAAATTTATTTTTATGTTTACAAATTCTTGTCTATAAATTGTTATTGAACTAGCGTAGAAGAGGAAGGCTTTTCATAAGTGTCGATTGATTTGTATACAGAAAACTCAGTGCATTAAAATAAGAGATTAATAAATAATTAATAGCTTGAGTTAGTGAGGAAAAATAAATTTTGAAAGATGCAAACATGAAAATCTGATTTTTAAGGTGCCCATTTCAGGTAGATATATTATTATAATATTTACGAAATGCAATATTTTCAGTTGAATTATAAATTCACAATTGAAATATTCCATTAACATTTTCCAAAAATATATATGACAATGTGGAAAATAATATAAAAAAATATCCTTCTTGGAAATTGTCGAAAGAGTTGCAATATTTGCCTTTAATAATACAAATAATTACCATAGTCAAGTATCCTACATTTTAGACACTCTGAAATGCTCGCTTAGTTAATGATTACACCTGATATACATATTTAATTAAGTTGGGCGAAATGATAACGCGTTTGGGGCTGCCATAAAAAAAGGTTGATGTAATATTCATAAATAGTTTGTATAGCATACTGTGATGCAAATACATTTTATATTTTGCAGAGCATTAAATATTCTATAACTCTGTTGCCATGAGCACATTACACACATACGTATACAGCTGTGTGTGCGTGTGCGTGTGTGTGTTCGCAATATGTTTTGTCTTGTCGCAGGTTGAAACAGTTTCCAGACAAATTACTCATACGCCGTGTTATGGCCATGCTATAGTCTATTGATTATTAATTTAGATGCTTATCTAATTTTATTGCTTTATTTATAATAATTAGATTTATTTATAATAACCACTGTGCGTATGCTTAATACTCACGTTGAGTATACGCCCGGCTGGCCGATAACTTGAACACAGATTTTCCGTACTGGAAAGCACATCGAGGAAACACAATTGTTTATGAGCTCCGATACACACATAATACTCATAATTCAATAATAACAATATAAATACGCTCGCCGCAAACGCAAACAAGTGGCAGAGTTCTAGAGGGGAGTGACCGACTAAGCGATACCTATACTTACTACATAGACATATTGTAGATCTTTGTATACTGCATAGTCAGACGGTTTTTGAAGTTTTTACATATAAATCCATATATATTCTTTATGGCATCGCATGTGCATTTTTCTGTCGCTTTTTCTACTCATATTCAATGCTTACAGGGTATTGCAAGATCAGCAATCACGCAAAGTCAATCGCTTCGATCTACCGTTTGTTCGATCTGCCGACGCCAACTTGTTCACTTACGTTCCACATGCGCTCTCCCAGCTGTGCTCTCTGCCACTCTCTCTCTCTCTGTCACTCTCTTGTGCTGTCACGCTGCCACCCACTAATTACACTCACTCGTTATCTATTTGGCCAACTGACTCTCTCTCGCTCGCTCTCACTCTAACTCTCTCCTGCTGCTGTTCTCGCTGACAATTGGAATTGGATGACTCTTTAATACTTTTTTGTTTTGTGGGTTCGCCTGGCGATTAGTTTGTCGCGCTTCGCTGTGTGTTGCGGTCGCTGCTCGCTGTGTATTCATAATACATACCTATGTATATGTATGTGTGCATATAGCGTGCGTGCGTGTGTGTGTATGTACTAAATACACAGTATTGTTTCTGCGACTACATGGGGTAAAAATTGTTGTTGTTAAAGTGCTAATAAATTGACGGTCTGCCGCCGCATTTCAATTCGCACGCCAATGGCCGCGCATCAAGTGGTCATCGCCGCGCCGCGCCTCACCTCGGCTTGAAAAAAATATCTCGCTTCGATTTTCCAACTGTGTTTACCTTGTGAAATTCAACTTTGTGCCAGCCCTTGCCGTCTACTTGCATATTTATTAGCTTAAGTTTCAAGTAAATTGCCATTAAAACAAGACTCAACGTGATACGTATCGATCGGTTCTAGAGAGGGGAGGGGGGAAAGGGGGGTGGGGTGGTCGTTCATGCGACGGGCACACTCATCGTCTCAAAGTTCCCTAGGGCTGTTATTACAAGTGCTCCCCAGTGTGTGTGTGTGTGTGCGTGTGTGTGTGTGTGTGTGTGTGTGCGTAACAGAGGAAAATATTGTCGCATTCCCCTTTCTTGATTATGTTTAACGGTGTTTCCCCTCGCCTCTAGTTTTTAGTCTTAAAGGAAATCGTCATAATTTTTGTGAAATACATTAAAAAGCAACATTAAGTCGCATTATCAAAAAGCGATTTTTTTTTTTATCATTGTGCTCTGCGGCTGCAGTGGCTGCTCAACTGTGCGCTGCTGCACAAACTGTAAACGCAAATTAACCGCAAAATGCCGCGCAAAAAGTAAGTTAAATTAAGAAGAAGAACAAATTATTAGCCTCTTGTTGAGCCGCAGGTTGAATACCCTTTGCAGCGAAGGTCGAGGTAGATAAAATTTTGTAAATTTTTAGTAAATTTGTACAAAACACAAATTATAGATAATATAATTTTTTTGTACTCATCAAATTCAAGGATGATTTGTACAAGGTAAAAAAATACCTTGGAGCAAAATATGCTAAATTTTGTACGTAGCTCGATCCAGCCGGATTTTGCTGGCATATGTTTTAGACCGAGAAACTAGGCGTAAGAAACGGACGGAAAAAAGATTAATTATATCAAATTAATTATTTACACTTATTTAGAATATATATAGCTCTATGATATAGGAGTTTGATCTAGCCGGAAATATTACAAAATTTGACTGGGCTGAAGAAACAGACGAAAAAAGGAATAAGAGGGTTTCCTTTCCTAAAGATTGTACTCAAAGTTTGTTGCCATCCTCTATATATATATATATATATATATAAGTTTATTTATATATATAGAAGTTATGGGTTCCGCCTGGTCTACTCTCATGCATTGCATATTTCCTTACAAAGTTATAGTATCCTCAACGCAAAGGGTATTAAACTGGGAAATTTCACGTTTTGCATGATGAAACTTGGCCTCGAAATTGTGCTGTGATTTTGTTTGTTTTGGGTCGAATCGTTCGATTTGGTCGTCAATCAGACGTCAGGCGTTACATATGGCTGGGCATAAATCAGATCCGCAATGAAATTAAAGCATAATTATAGGCGTGACAAGTGACTGTCTGCTGCAGAACGTGCGCTAGATAAAAAACCAGAAACTGAGATAAGATAACGCTACACAGTTCCGCCCACCTGCCCAGGTCGGCGCCCCGCAACGGAGCCTAGTCGGAGCTTAAATAGGGTGTATTTATTTGCTTGGTTTATCGGCCAATTAGCGCAGCAATTAAATTAGAACAAACTCTTGGACTCTTGATAATCAGCTGAAACTCTTCTCGAATCTCTCTCCCCACCTCCTCCCCCTCCTCCGCCTATTTTTAGAGTGGAATTTCGCGTAAAGCAAACGCCGTCGCGTCCAATGCAAATGGCAAACGCACGCATCGGCACGCTGGAGGAGGATCTGCATCCGGACGATGAGCTGGCGGCACACTATGAAGCATTTGGCACCACGCCCCCGCGCACCCGCCTGAAGATCAAGAATCGCGACTGGGAACGCAAACAAAAGTTCAACATTGTCGATGCGTAAGTAGACAACCACCATGCTACCCGGCTTTGCCCGGGCTAAGAACTTTTCATTAAATATAAAACCAATTTTCTTCTCATTCCCCGTCTGTGGTGTATATAATTTCCCAAACACGATCGGACGAAATTAAAACCCATTCTTGAAGGGGTTCAATTTGTGGAAAATGCATTTTCTGAAGGATATTGAATATGATTTTCAGGCCGATTGGATGAAAAACAAAAAAGAAAATCATGCAACGGGTTTCCAATCGTTTTCCACACATGCGAGCGAAATTTTCAGAATTCCTGTTTCACAAAAGCTAATTGTGAAAAATATCGCTTCCTAGCTCTTAAGGATTGGGCTGTATGATAGCCATCAATCAGTCAATCAATCGAAATTTTCCGAATTCCTGTTTCACGAAAGCTAACTGTTAAAAATATCGTTTGCTAGCTTTCAAGGATTAGGCTGCATGGGAATCATAAATCAGTCAGACATTCAATCAATTATTAAATCAGTCATTCAATCAATATTTCCAACGGTTTCCAACCGTTTTCCAAACATGCACTCGAAAAAAATTACGCTTCCTAGCTCTTAAGGACTGGGTTGTATGTTAATCATCAATCAGTCATTCAATCAGTCAATCAATCATTCATTCAATCAATAATTCCAACGATTTTCAACCGTTTTTCACAAAAGCTAACAACTGTAAAAAATTTCGCTTCCTTGCTTTTAAGGACTGGGTTGTATGTTAATCATCAATCAGTGATTCAATCAGTCAATCAATCAGTCATTCAATCAATAATTCTAACGCTTTTCAACCGTTTTCCAAACATGCGTGCGGAAAAAATTCCGCTTCCTAGCTCTTAAAGACTGGGCTGTATGTTAATCATCAATCAGTCAATCAATCAGTCATTCAATCAATAATTCCAACGCTTTTCAACCGTTTTCACAAAAGCTAACAACTGTGAAAAATTCCGTTTCCTAGCTTATAAGGATTGGGCTATATGTTAGTCATCAATCAGTCAATCATTAAATAATTGTAATGTGTTCTCTTTACAGCTCCGTGGATGCGCCGGCGAGCGTTGGAGGCACGCCCAAGAAGGGCATGACGCGAATGGCGCGTTCCCGTGTGCTGAGGCGCAATACGATGGACTGCGCCCTGCTGAACGAGATGTTCGTCAACGACGAGGGAAAGCGGACGGACAAGCGACTGCAGTCACTGCTGCGGGACTCCGAGCGGGAGATGAAGAACTCGTTGGCATCGACAACGATTGCGGCGCCGCGTGGCAACAGCTTCCATGAGGGCGGCGCCCACCCACTGGAGTCGCTGGACAAGATTATGCCGCTGAGCTCCGATGAGCCGCATATGATGCCGCTGCGCATTGCCTCCAAGGTGGTGGAGAGCTGCAATCGATATCGCTGCGTCTCGTCGCGGCCGATCGGCTGTCGGTCGTCGGCGCCGCCGCTGGCCTTTACGCCGCAGCTGCCGGCGCTGCGGGTGGATGGGAAGACGACGCCCGGGTTGACCAAGCGCAAGGACTTCCACGAGACGTTCTCCAATCTGATCAAGCTGGGCAGCGTGGACAGGCAGGATGGCAAGCTGTCGCAGGAGGAGCACACGTGGCAGACCGAGCTGAAGGATCTCATCTGGCTGGAGCTGCAGGCCTGGCAGGCCGATCGCACCGTCGAGCAGCAGGACAAATATCTATACGAGGCGCGTCATGGCGTCTCCGATCTCCTCACCCAGATCATCAGCTACAAGTTCCAGCCGCGCTACAGACGGGAGCCCAGTCTCCTCAGCCTCGACAGCGGCATACACTCCGATGCCAATTCCAATGCCAGCTGTAAGTAGCCTTCGGCTTTCCCTAAAGTCCAAATGCTTAAATGGGATTGATTTTTCATCTCTTGCAGCTCCCTTGCCCAGCAAATTGTGCCAGGGCTGCATGTCCTTGTACTGCAAGGACTGCATGGAGCGACAGGAGCTGGCGCTGCGCGAGGTCGAGGATTTGCTAACACGCCTGGAGGCAGCCGAGGCCTTGTATCCCTCCTCCCAGGCCATGGGTGCACTGCATCCCATTTACAAATCCCAGAGCTTTGTCGGCCGCATCAAGGCCATGTGTCTCTGGTACAACATTACCAAGCAGAACAAGCTCAAGCTGAGTATTCTGGGCAGGATTCTGGCGCGGTAAGTGCAGACATACGGACTGATTGACCACTGCTGGAGTAACTGATTGACTGCTTGACAAAGGAAAAGTAGATAGTTAGACAGACTGATCAATCAGTCAGATTGATTTACTGTTCGACTGACTGATTGAGAAATGGTTGATACACCAACTGAATGATTGATTGACTGCCGACTGACAAAACATACAGACAGACTTACTGATTGATTGATTGCTTGACTATCTGTTGGAGTAACTGACTGACTGCTTGACAAATGACAAATAAATAGATAGGCAGACGGATTGACTGATTGATTGATTTACTATTCGACGGATTGATTGAGAAAGGGCTGGCTGACCAACTGAATGATTGATTGACTGCCGACTGACAAACATACAGACTGACAGACTGACTGATTGATTGATTGATTGCTTGACAACTGCTGGAATAACTGACTGACTGCTTGAAATATGACAAACAAATAGATAGGCAAATGGATTGACTGATTGATTGATTGCTTGATTGTTTGATTGACTTACTATTTGACTGACTGATTGAATGTTGACTGCCAACTGAATGATTGATTGACTGGCGACTGACAAACATAAAGACTGACTGACTGATTGATTGATTGACCATCTGTTAAAATGACTAACTGACAGTTAGATACGTAAACGGATTGACTGATTGATTGATTTACTATTCGACTGACTGATTGAAAAGTGGCTGGCAGACCAACGGAATGATTGATCGACTGAGTGCTTGATTGACCAACTGTTCGAATGATTGACTGATTGTCCAATCGTGAACGAGATGTATGTTAAGGCAGCTCGTCGCTGGTTACAGGGTATCTGCTAGTCTACTTTCCACTGAAAATTGTGACATATATTTATGCGTTCGACTCCTTGCAGACTTCAGGATGAGAAATTCTCTTGGCCGGTGCAAACATCGTACATGGGCTCGGATAGCGGCAATTCGTCATCCGCCTCGGGCGTGGAAAATGATGACTCGGCGGTCAATTCGATGGACTCCTCGAAGCCGCCCAGCGTGGCGGGCAACGGGCAGGCGCCGTCCCGCCGCGGTTGCGGCACCGTGTCCTGTGCGCGGGTGCAATTCATGCTGAACGATTCGACCCATGTGCCCGGCGAGACCTCCAGCAGCAATGAGTAGGTCAACCCAAAAAACCAGTACATATATCTAAACAATTTGCCTTATACCCAACTTAGATCCACTTCGACGGAGATTAGCCAGCTGTCCAACGAGCTGCCGGGCGGGCATTTGCGCAAGGGCTCGATGCATGACATCAACATCTTCAGCGTGGAGCCGCTGGGCACCTCGAGCAACGACTGCAACGGCGAGCAGGTCTCGGGGCTGTATCGCAAGTTCATTGAGAATGTGCTCAAGTGTCGCGGCCTGGCCAAATCCTTGGCCTTTCTCCATCAGCTGCACACGGTCGCGTTGTACAAGGCGCACATTGCGCTGGAGAAACCCGGTGTGGAGGATTTGGAGGACTTTGAGCTGGATGCGGAGATCATTGAGCAGGATGTGCCGCGCATGGATCCGCAAATCAGTCGCGAACAGGTCATCGAGCTGCGCACCTACGGCTACTGGAGCGAGGAGGCGCAATCGATCAATCTGCCCTCGTACATTCCCACCTTTGTGTTCCTCAGCGGCATTCCGTTGCAGTTCATGCACGAGTTCCTCCGCATGCGCCTAGAGACGCGTCCGGTGCGCCCCAATCCCCTCAGTCTCGAGCAGCTGATGAAGGAGCTGCGCGAAGGTCTCACCCTCGCCCTAACGCATCGCGAGCGCTACCAACGCCACATTACGACGGCGCTCGCCGAGAACGAAACGGAGCTGGGCAGCTACATCAACATCCTCAACCAGTACGATGCGACGGTGCGCAAGACCTTCGAGCTCTATCTGGACTATATCGATCAGCTGGTGCTTGTCGCCGTGCCGGAGACGAATCAGAAGTCCGTGCTCGAGAAGGAATGGATGTTCACCAAGCTGATCAGTCCCATGATCAAGGGCATGCACACGCTCGCCTCGCAGAAGTTCTGCGGCATCATCAGCAAGCTGTTGTGCAGCATCTCGCGGCGGCTGGTGCAGCGCTCCGAGGAGCTGGACGAACAGATCGCCAGCACGGCGCACAGCAACGACAGCGAGGAGCTCAAGTGGCAGCTGCTCACCATTTGCCGCGAGACCCAGGCGCTGCTCACCGTCGAGCGGGAACGTTCGATCAAGGTGCTCTTCTTTGCGAAGACCTTCTGTCGGGACGTCGAGACGACGGACTTCCATCGGGAGCACTACGAGCACGATGTGGCCAATCAGCAGCACGACTTCATCTGCTCGGACGTTAAGGCGGCCTTCAAGCTACTCCAGCAGGATGTGCTCGAGGTGCGCAACAAGCTGACGAACATCATCAAGGGCGTTCAGCTGCGCTGTTGCATGCGCAACATGCTCGAGCTGGACGAACAGGATCGGCTGGCGGTTCTGTCGCGCACGCGCGAAATCCTCCATCAGGGCTACAAGTTCGGCTTCGAGTATCACAAGGATGTCATCCGACTGTTCGAGCAGCGCATCATGGACCAGAAGGACAGCGGACACACGGTCGACCTGGCGCTGGGCATCATTGCCTTCGCCAAGATGTGGATGCATTTTGTGATGGAGCGCTGCGAACGCGGCCGGGGCATGCGTCCGCGCTGGGCTTCCCAGGGACTGGAGTTCCTGATGCTCGCCTGCGATCTGCAGATCACACAGCATCTGGACGATCGCCAGTTCGAGGAGCTGAAACAGCAAATGGATCGCTGCATATCGCATGTAATTGGCATCACGTCGGAGCCGGAGAAGGTCGCCCGGAAAAAGGCATCGCCGCGCACCCGGAAAACCTCCTCGCCGGCAACAAGTCGTTCCCGGACGCCGACGCGCACGCCAATGTCCGCCGGCGTTGTGGTTAATCCCAATACGCCGCCGCTGCAATCGCCGCAATACAACAAGCTGCTGCATCCGCAGTTCAGCCTGAAGGAGGAGCTGCTGCAGCAGACCTCAGCCAGCTACGGCTCCGTGGACAGCGCCGACTTTGCCGAGGCGCCGCACGGTGCCGGCATCGGCGAACTGCGTCTGCTTGTCCCACAGACGCCGCCCATTTCCACAGCCACATCCCCAGCCGCCGGCAAGGGCAGCGCCGCCTCAACCCCGCTGGCCTCCCGTCATGAGCGCGTGCGCGATGCGGTCAACCGGCTGGATCTCGATCTGGAGGAACATCTACGCGAACGCCGGCTCATCGGGCAGGTGAAGGCGCTCAATTCGTGCGACAAGGTTCAGATACGAGCACGGAGCGTCCATTTCCGCTGGCATCGTGGCATCAAGATCGGGCAGGGCCGTTTCGGCAAGGTCTATACGGCCGTCAACAACAATACGGGCGAGCTGATGGCCATGAAGGAGATCGCCATCCAGCCGGGCGAGACGCGCGCCCTCAAGAACGTCGCCGAGGAGCTCAAAATTTTGGAGGGCATCAAGCACAAGAATCTGGTGCGTTACTATGGCATCGAGGTGCATCGCGAGGAGCTGCTCATCTTTATGGAGCTCTGCTCGGAGGGCACGCTCGAGTCTCTCGTGGAGCTGACGGGCGGCCTGCCCGAGGCTCTGGCACGCCGATTTACCGCCCAGCTGTTGTCCGGCGTAGCCGAGCTGCACAAGCACGGCATCGTGCATCGGGACATCAAGACTGCCAACATATTCCTCGTCGACGGCAGCAACAGCCTCAAGCTCGGCGACTTTGGTTCCGCGGTCAAGATCCAGGCACATACCACGGTGCCCGGCGAACTGCAGGGCTATGTCGGCACCCAGGCCTACATGGCGCCGGAGGTCTTCACCAAGACGAACAGCGACGGCCATGGACGAGCCGCCGATATCTGGTCCGTCGGCTGTGTTGTCGTCGAGATGGCCTCGGGCAAGGTGAGTCCACGTTCCGATAACCTGATAAGCAGATAAGTAGATAAGCCCCGACTCGCTGGCCCTCAAAACTATTACGAATGAGCAATCGCTAATTGGTCAAACAGTGCGGCAATTATGTGACTATCCTATCTAGCATTGATTGATTGACTGACTGACTGACTGACTGACTGACTGATTGATAAAGTAGTTCGGGAATTATGTGACTTTTCCATCTACCATATTAGCAATAGAAAGGAATACTATTGTTCACTGACGAATTGACAGACTGATTGACTTACAGATTGACGGACTATCTGCCAGTCAGACAGACAGAAAGACTGATTGATCAAACAGTGCGGCAATTACGTGACTATTCTATCTAGCATTGATTGATTGACAGACTGACTTACTGATTGATCAAGTAGTTCGGGAATTATGTGCATTCTAGCATTCTTGATTGACAAACGACAGACTATTTGACAGTCAGACTGACGGACTGACTGATTGATCAAATAGTTCGGGACTAATGTATGTGACTATTCTATCTATCAAAAGGAAAACTATTTTTTGACCACGAATTGACAGGCTTACTGACATAGATTGACTTGACTGATTGACAAACGACGGACAGACATACTGACTGATTCATCGACAAACAGACTGATTGACTGATTGACTTACTGTTAAAATGTCTGACTAACTGATAGACAAAAGACAGACTGGCTTATTGATGCACTATTAAAGGGCAGTCAGGCAGACTGACTGATTGATCGACAGATTGATAGATTGAGTAAATGTTTGATATTCTTTTCAAATGATTGACTACTGAACAAATGACTGACTGATTGATTTACTGACTGTCTGATTGAAATATGGCAGACTGAGCGTTAAGGGTCTAGCAAATGACAAGTAGACTGACTGACTGATTGATGGACTGTCAAATGGCAGGCAGACTGACTGATTGTTTGATCGACAGACTGATTGGTTGAGTAAATTTTTGACCTACTTTTCAAATGACTGACTAATGAACAATTCACAAATGACTGACTGATTGATTAACTGACTGACTGATTGATAAATGACAGATTGACTGTTAAGGGTCTTGATCTTCTACTAAAATGACTGACTGATTGACAAATAACAGACTGACTGATTGATGGACTGGCAATTGGCAGGCAGACTGACTGACTGATTAATTGACCATCTATTAAAATGACTGACTGATTGATAAATGACAGACTGACTGATTAATGGACTGGCAATTGGCAGGCAGACTGACTGGTTGATCGATTGGCAAATGACAGGCTGACTGACTGATTGATCGATAGATTAATTGACTGAGTAAATGTTGGACCTATGGCAAGCAACTTGACTGATTGATGGATTGACCTTCTATTGACTGACTAAAGAACAATTGATAAATGACTGACTGATTGACGAATGACACATTGATTGAAGGCTTAACTAAGATTTTTGTGACATTTCATTCGAGACGTGCGTCAAACTTTACAGAGTAGTTATATTGCCTGACAGTCAGTTTTAGACTTATCTTGAAGTACTATATCCTTTTGCCAGGCAAAAGCCTGGAAGTACCTTGCTAGTATCTTTATAAACTCTTCCATTTCCGTTTCGCAACTATGCAGCGCCCGTGGGCACAGTTCGATTCCAATTTCCAAATCATGTTCAAAGTGGGCATGGGCGAGAAGCCTCAGGCGCCGGAGAGTCTCTCGCAGGAGGGACACGAGTTCATCGACAGCTGCCTGCAGCACGATCCCAAGCAGCGTCTGTCGGCCATTGAGCTGCTCGAGCTCAACTTTTGCAAGGTGAGCACCAAGATGATGCTATTATCTAATATATGTATATCATTAATAAACCAATCCTCCTGCAGTCTGGGCGCGATGAGGAGTGCAGCAGCGAGCAGCTGCAGGCTCAGATGCGCGGCTCCTTTCGACGCAACGTGGTGCAGATCTGATCCGGCAGTTGGTTAAATCTAATATCTATGTTTCCCGTCGCGCACACACACACACACGCACACATACTTATGCTTATGTGTGTGCACATGTGTGTGTGTGTGTAACTTTTTATGTTGGACAATAAATGTACCCAAAAAAAATTGGCCAACTTTCGAATTAAACATGCAAATTTATTTAAATTGCGTATACCCTGACTCCACTCCGTAAGGGGAATCAAGCGGAGCCGGCGTAATCGCCGTAGGTTGTGTCCGTCGGGGGCCCAGCCACTGTGGTCAGCATGGATGGCATCGGTGGCAGATCATCATCGGGACTATCGCCGGGCGCACTAGTTGGTGGAGTTGGCGCCGCCGTCGCAACGGTTGGCGCCGATTGGGCCTGGATCAGCGGCACGGAGCACAGCAGAAGGGCCAGGCACAGGCTGAGCAGCAAATGCAAAACTGCAAAAAAATATTCAAATAAATAAATAGATAATCCTTCAATTCGGTTCAACTTACGTTTCATATTGATTGTTTCGTTTAGACTGTTTTCACGCAGCTCGAAACGTTAGATATTTATATGTTTTTTGCCATTTAATTAATTAAAAAAAAAATAAATAGATTAATCAAGCGCTTATCTGCGGCAGCTTATCACGGCCGGAATAAGTCCAATATTGGATATGCGACTCTTCTTGGAATCCAATTAGGTATATATGGCATATATATATATATATATATATATATATATGTAGGTCAAGAAAGTAGTCAACAGCTTTGAATGCAATGTTTCGATTTATTTTTGTGATTTCTTTTAACTTGGAACGAAATCGAACCTAACGACATATATATGTATGCATATTGTTCAGATAATAGCTAGGATAGGTTCAACGAATACATAAAGTACATATATATATATATATGGCAACAATGAACACAGCAACTAGAATTTAATGTATACATATATATATTTGTTATTTATTCCTTTCAACTTTTTTTTTAACTTTTTCCATATAAGAATTTCTCTTGTGTATAACATAGTATATTTATCTATATATATATATATATATATATCATCAAGTGGATGTGGATAAAATATATATATATATAGGTGTATCTAATTTTCGTTTCGTTAATTTGATATGTTTTTGACATTTTTTTTGGTAAATACTTGATATAAATTTATTGATATGTATTGTTACGTTTCAAGTCTATATACGTACAATGATTTTTAATATGTTATTTAACAAAACTTCAACTTCAACAATATTTGTAGTATTAATCATAGGGAAAGCCCATTTTTCCAGCTCCCTCTAACAAGCGTATAGTTTAAATAGTTTATAGATATTTTTTTTTGTTTGGAAACAGCAACATAAATGGAAAAACATTTAATATGATTATTATAAACTACTTGCAACAACAATTTCTAATAACATTTTTCGTATAACGCAACAAACACAACGTTGAACAAAAAGTATTGCATACTTTTGAGCGCAGACGCACAGTGGCGGCCAATTTGTTGGGCATGCCTCGGAAATTCGTGTCGGACAGCCAAGCCAATAGAATAATATTGCATAATTAACCAACACATACGTAGATATATATATATATTTTGTTCATTTAACAGCACTAACAATTGCGCATAAAATTGCTCTAAAACATTTAATTGACCAGAGTTTCTCTTTGTCATCTACTAATATATAGCTTGGTTTAAAGCAAATGAGTTTCAATATGATTACGATTACCAGATGATTGACATCAGTTGTTCAAATCAATCAGTGTATCCGATTGAAATGACTTGTACAACACTAAAAGTATTAATCTTGGTAACTAATGACGCCTTGTGGACGCTAGTTAACTACGGTTTACATAGGTATTTTGTATGCCCTTGCAGACTGAATTGTTTAGTCATAAATCAGAAATATACGATCTTATAATTCATATATAATATTGGGGAGGATCTTTGCAGTCGCCCAGATTTTAAAGTTCATCCTTAACTTAACAGAGATTCATGCATATAGAGTTCTAGACAAATGAGAACTATTGATTTTATAAGTAACTCTCAAGAAAGAGCAAAATAATATATATAAAAAGTTGAATAACAGGCTCAAGGATTAATATTATAATAGATCAGTGTGTTTTATCCCAGATCATGGCACGACAATAAAATCTCGGAATTGGTTAAAAAACAAAATTAAGAGAAAAGATAGAACGAAAAAAAGAAAATTAAAATCTCAAAGATCTATTCTATCTAGCCCGTAGTTCTTATAACAATAGATCGCAATTCTTGTCTGCAAGGGTATTTATTATTCGGCTAACCGAAGACTTTATATAATTTTCTCCTTCTTTCTTTCCTTTTCCTGTCTATATAATTTGCTACTTCCTTCTGCTTTTCCCTTTCTTCTCTATATAATTTGCTACTTCCTTCTGCTTTCCATTTCCTGTCTATATAATTTTCTCTTTCTTTCAAGGCTTTCCTTTTCTTGTCGTTTAGTACTATGGTTAAGGAGATCCTTTCCTATATAATTTGCTGCTCCTTTCACGGTCTTCGTTTTCTTCTCGTTTAGTTTTATAGTTAGGGATATCCTTTCGGATTTGTATGGACAAATTGTTGCTAAGGTACATTTACTGATATGTTTGCTTTGTTGTGTTTCTTTTCGCTTCCTTTTCCTTTTCTAGTTCTGGAGCAGGTCGCGCATTATGTCGAGCGAGTCCTGCAGCGATTTGGCATAGCGCGAGGCGCTCGTGTCCTCGCAGGCGTAGAAGGCCGACACGCAGAAGACAATCTGCTCGGGCTGCGGATTATAGGAGCAGCCATAGCCACGCGGTGTCACCGGACCGTAGCCCATGAAGCTGTCCGTGCTGCAGGCGACCTGTCGAAATGGGAACAGACAACGTGACAAGGATCAGTTGGGATCGGAGTTAGGTCTGCTGAGCTTAAACCTAGGTGGCTTACGTGTGGAGCTGGCGGTGCTTGTGGTGCTGTTGGTGCAAGAGTTAAGAGCATTAAGAGAAATGTGGTGCAAGGACAACGGATAAGTGAGAGGTGCTCAGTGCTTGGTGCAGCGGACTAAGCGTGCAGAGCTGGTCAAGGCTCGGGGAATACCTGACTCGTGGAGAGCAGAAAGCATTGCGATATCTTGTAGGACTCGTCGGTGAAGAGCTCGTGCAGCTCGCCGGTCACCTCCACGGAGGCCTCGCGCAATCCCAACAGCGGTATATCGATGCCATTGCCCAAAATATTCCTGACCATCACCTCCGTCTGGCGGGCGACGGCGCAGCGGAAGAGCTCCCGCAAGTGCTCCTTCTGTCAAAGGATGTCAAAAGGGTTACAGGACTTGCTCAGTTATTGGGCTAGGTTTATGTGGAATACGCACGCTATAAATGCTAAATGTGACTTTGCGTGCATCCTCCTCGTCGTCCTCGCGATCGCTCTCCAGCGGCACATTGGCGCCTTCGCCCTGACACATGGCCTTGGCCCATTCCAGAGCCTCCGTGCTGGCGGCACGTATGCAGTCCACGCGGCCCTAAGGGTCAGCAGGGGGTTAGCAAATGGAATAGGAATAATATAAGTCATGTGCTTACGTGCAGAAAACGCCTGGTGGAAGCACTCTCGTAGGTAGCCACGAGGTGGCCGTAAAGTCTGCAAGAAATGAATTTGGTTTTAGGGAAAATTATTCACTATTCCCCTTCAGGTCATGCCTGGGAACCTAGGAACCTGTCCTCGAACTAGAGCCCTGCTTTGAGTCAATCGATGCGTGCCTCGGATACTCAGACATTTATTTTGATCAAGCGAGTCAATACATAACTTGTTTCGGCTCGAACTGCTTGAGTTGGTCGACTCGACCGAAATACAATTTAATCAAAAAAAAAAGCTAGCTCCAAACTAGAATATTTTGGGCGTACATTTTCATACATGATCGTATTATGCACTCGAACATGCTCGAGATCGAACATGCTCGTGATCGAACATGCTGGAGCTCGAAATGCTCAAGTTGGTCGACTCGACCGAAATACGATTTAATGGAAATAATAAGCTAAAAAGAATTTACTCGAACATGCTTAAGCTCGAACATGTTGCAAACTCGAACAGTGTTCGAGCTCGATGACTCGCTATTCGAAGCCTGCTTAGCGCGATGCACGAAAGTTCGAGTCAAGAAAATTATTTTGATCAAGCGTGTCAATACATAATTTGTTTCGACTCGAACTGATCGAGTTGGTCGACTCGACCGAAATACGATTAATCGTAACAATAAGCTTGCTCCAAACTGGAATATTTCTGTTGTATATTTTTATACATGAGGGTATTGTGTACCCGAACATGCTCGAGCTCGATCTGCATGAGTGGGTCGATTCGACCGAAATACAATTTAATTAAAAAAATAAGCTACTTAAAAATTGGAATATTTTGGGTGCACATTTTTAGACATAAGTGCATTGTGAACTCGAACATACTCGAGATCGAACATGCTCGAGCTCAAACATGCTCTTCGAGCTTGTTGAATCGTTATTCGAACACAGCTCGAGTCAGTCGACTAACGGTCAAATGCGATTGAGTATTCGAGTTGGTTGCAACTGAATTATCCGATCAGGGCTCAAGTTCGAGGCACATACTCACTTGTAGTGGGCCAGCTGGAGTGCGAGCTGTATGTAGACATCCGGGCTGACCTGGCAGGCCTTGACAAAGTTCTTGCCGTAGCCCTTGTAGCGATAGACATAGAAGTCCAGATTGTCGATGGCCTTGTCCACGCTGATGGCCGCCTGCGGAAAGCGCTGCTGCACCTGGCCGGGCACATGCCATTCGAGCCGCTCCGGCGGCGGCAAATGATGCTGCGGCAGGCCGTTGTCATCGAACGGCTGCTCGACAATCGACTTGTAGATCTTCTCCAGCAGCTGCACCACGGCGATGCCCTCCGAGGTGGAGTGCTCGTAGCACAGGCCCCAGCTGCCGTCCGTGCAGATGATGAGCTGCAGGACGGGAGGAGAAATATGGGAATTAGCTTGAAGAGAAAAGGGAGATTATTCTTCGGCTGCCCACCTGCATGGTCTTGTCGAACCAGCGATTGGCGGAATTGAACTCGCTGCCGCCACCGTGGATCATTTCGTGTGCCATGTTCGTCTCGTCCCGATCCCCGGCCATGTGCATGCTGGGCGTGGCGCCCGTAAAGCCGCGTGCATTAAAGTTCCGGCCCAGCGGTTCGTCCAGGCAGAGCACAACGAGCGCCGTCTCGATCAGCTCCAGATTGCGTTGATTGCGCTCGTCCGACTGGAGAGCCTCACGATCCCGGGCCCACTGGGAGCGCGGCTCGGCGGTCAGCAGGCCGATGGGCGACGGCTTGGCGGGCAGGCAGGGCGCATCGCTGAGCACGTAAAGGATCTGGGAGGCGATCTCGCTCTCCGAGAGCTTGCCCCGGTCGCTGGCCTGCAGCACGACGCAGTACATCTGATTGCGACAGATGACCACCACGTGACGATCCGCGTCGCCGGGCTGCTCCCGCCCGGGCAAATACTGCGAGTCGCGCTCCACGCCGGGACGTCGGCACGAGCCGAGCAGGCGATAATACTGGGCCATGCACAGCGGTTGATTCTTTTCACGGGAGGCGGCACGCTCCAGCGGCAGCTGACCGCTGTCCAGCATCAACTTGTGGGCGACCAGCCCGTCCAGCAGCCGGGCGGCAAAGTGGGCCACATCGTGCACGGTCCGGAAGCGACGCGGCGGAAAGACCATGCCGGGATTCGAGTTAATCGGCAACGGGATCCGCACATTCATGTACATGTCGTTCAGCCAGTAATAGTAGGCCTGCGGAAGACATACAAATTCAATTAGGCCCAAACTAGAGATTGGGCGTGGCCCACTTAGAATTTTTTTTGGGGGTAGGGCGCCTTATCGGAAATTCCTCTGTTCGATCGAAGATCTTTGATAAGATGTGGGGTATAAATAATGCACGGCGCAGCTCGATAAAGTCAGTTCAACAGTTTCATCTAACCTCGACGGATAGCTCAACGGATTCCCAAACCCACCCAAAACCCATCCAAGATGAAAGGTGAGACCGCTTCCTCCTCCTCTCCCACCTCTTCCTCCATCTCTCATTTCGATTTCTTTGCAGTGTTCGCTCTGACTCTGCTCGGCTGCCTGGCGGCTTTGGCGCAGGCGCGCATCGATTACAAGCTGCAGTGCACCCGGGACGAGGTGGGCATACGCTGGCCCAGCTACTACAGCAACTCCGAGTACTATGTCTGCCAGAGCGTCTACGGCAGCCAGCTGACCGTCCATTGTCCCGCCGGACAGGTCTTCACATTCGTGCTGCAGCAGTGTGCCGCGCCAGCGCTCTATGTGCCCGCTCCACCTATGGATGTGCTGCCGACGGCGGCGCCGATAACCACGCACCTGGTCGACGAGGCGCCGGCCGTATTGGCGCCCGTATTGGCGCCCATTGGCATCGTTCAGCCCGTTCATGGCCATGAGCCCGCCTTGGAGCAGCAGATTGTCCATGCTCTGCCAGTTGATCCCACACCGCCCACACCGCCCACGGAGCCACCGACGCCACCGACTGTGGCCGTCGAGGCGCCCAAGCCCGGCAAGAAACCGATCGCACCGCAGCCCCAGAAGAAGCCAAGCACAGCGCCCGCAAAGGCTGCCGCCGCCAAGAAGCCAACGGCTCCGGCTCCGCCGAAGGCGGCCAAGAAGCCAACGCCGCCCAGCAAGGCACAGAAGAAGCCGCCAACGGCCTCGACGGCCTAGAGAGGCGCCAGTTCCAGTTCCAGTTCCCGTTCCGGAGAATCAACAGCAAAAAATTAATGTTCAACAAGCGGAATTTCATTCAAAACTCTAAATAACACCCAAAAATAAATATCTTTTTACTGCAATCGCGACGAGCTACAAAAATATATCTATTTGGCCATTGGGGAAGTGCCGCCTCCATAATAACATGTGTATACACACACACACACGCACACACACACACACACACACACACACTTGCACACATTTGTCAATCAGTCAATCAATCAATTAGCTAATTGACCTTGTTGCCCCATGCCGAACACTTTTAATTGATTAATAATTGTAACCAGAAATTGTCAGGTGAAAAAGTTTCAGTTGAGCATGCACGACTAGCAGATACCCTGGGCAGTACCTCGGATAGATGCTAGTCGCACTTGCGGAATATTCAGCAGGTAAAAAAGTTCTAGTTGAGCTTGCACGACTAGAAGATACCCTGGGGCGAAGCTGAATACTTGGAGATTTTCTACTAAAATTAAAACTTGATAATTAATTGTAACTAGAAATAGCCAAGTATTTAGTAGGTAAAAATATGCCAGGCATGCGCGACTAGCAGATACCCTGGGGAGTAGCTGCGTACGGAGATTTTCTACTAAAATTTCAAACTTTTAATTGATTAATAATTGTAACTAGAAATTGTCAGGTGAAAAAATTCTGGTTAAGCATGCACGACTAGCAGATACCCTGGGGAGTAGCTAAAAAGTTCTCGTAAAGCATGCACGACTAGCAGATACCTCGGAAATACCCAAATACTTTCTACTAAAATTAAAACATTTGATTATAAGAAATTGTCAAGAATTCAGCAGGTGAAAAATGTCATGTTAAGCATGCACGACTAACAGATACCACGGAAATACCCGAATGTTTCGAGATGTTCTATTAAAATTAAAACTTTTATTTGATTAATAATTGTCACTAGAAATTGATAAGCATTCGGCAGGTGAAAAAGTGCTAGCTAGGTATGCACGACTAGCAGATACCCTGGAAGTATACTCGAATACATGGCGATTTTCTGCTAAAATTATAATTTGAATTTAGTTATAACTTGTAACTAGAAATTGCGGAATATTCAGCAGGTAAATAATTTTATTTGAGCATGCATGACTAGCAGCTACCTCGGGAGATTTTCTATTTGTTATCTCGTATTTTTTAGATGTCAAAGACTGAACAGGTGCAAGTGTGAGCGACTGTGAGATACCCTGTAACATGCATTCGCAAGCAGCGCTATTTGTTCACTCGATTTCACACTATAGAAATTTGCTTTCAAAACAAAGAATATATTTAATTGAGAACTTAATTCAAATGGAGTCACATTTGTGCTTCAAATATTTAAATTTTAGAAAAACTTTCTTTGAGTAACTTACATATTTGACAAGGTATATCTTTCACTTAAAGGCACTTAAAGTTGAAAAACTGTTGAAAAATATTTTCAAATTTGATCGAAATTCGAATGAAAATTAAAATAAAAAATTACTGTATACAGAATGGAGACAAATTAGCGACATACTCGATTAAAGCCTGTTGAAAAATGGTTGACTGAAAGAAAAAGTTGTTGATTACAAAATATGGAGACTATTTTCGAAATAAAATTGTGAAAGTCCTGCTCCATGCGAGTCTATAATGATATCTGAGTCCATTTTCTACTAAAAGTTGAAAAATTGTTGAAAAAGGATTTCTGAATCGATAAAAAAACGAATTTAGGTTGAAAAAAAAAAGGTGCTGAATTCAAAATGCGAGTCTTAAAATCTATGTGACTTGATTTTATCTAGAAAAAGTTGAAAAATTGTTAAAAAATGGCTTGAGAATCGATCGAAATTCGAATGTATAACTTTTTAATTTTTAACAAATTTGTGGCATACTCAAAGCCCACGATCCTTGCTCTTAACTTAATAAAAGATCGCACGGAATTGAGTTTAAAAGTATTTCCGTTCACTTTGTATTTCCGCAGAAAGACAGAGCCAGAGTCAGTTATCGCCCAGCATGTTGGTTGGTTTATGAATAAAGTCTTTTTGGAAATGTTATTAGCAGCTCGCTGATGATAAAATTCAGCGGAAACAATTCTGATATGAAGCCAACTCCCAGAAGATTGGGGGAATAGAAGCTATGCTAATTGGCCTGGCATGAGGGGGAGGAGCTGTAAGATTGGGGAATGGGAAATACAGTTCCGATTATTCAATAATTAGCGAGCGAGTGAAGTCTTTTTTGCGGCGCGTTATCGAAGTACATATGCCAAAGATTACCCTGGTTACACATTGAGAATTGAATTGTGATTCTGACAAGTATTAATCTAGACGCGGCAGCTGATTAAAAAAAATGCCTCCGCCGAGCCATAAAAGGCCGCGCCACGGGCCACGATCAGCAGTGAACGCCACAACAAGCCAACAGCGAGACGAGAAATATGAGAGCCGGTAAGCAGCTCCTGGTCCTGTCTGTCGCCTGGAGAGGATCTCACGTTGTTTTCCCTTTCAGTTTTAATCGCAGTCGCATTCGCCGGACTGTTGGCCATCAGCGTCCGGGCCCAGGAGAGTTGCCCCACGCCCAACTACACGACAGATATCGTTCCCGTCTGCCAGTCGAATTTGCGCATCAAGCTGCCCAGCTATGCGGATCCGACATCCTATTATTCCTGCACCACGGGCAAGGCGGTCTTAACCAAATGCCTAGCGCCAACGGGTTACTTCAGCTATGTGCTCCAGGAGTGCTCGACCTGCGCCAATTACATACCGGCCGTCGAGTGCGGCCAGATTAAGCTGGATCTTGAGTGTCAGCCCATTAGCGGATCCGGCACGACCACCGCGGCACCACCAGGCGGTTCAACAACGGCGGCCCCAACCACGGTCACAACGGCGGCTCCGACAGGCGATTCAACAACGGCAGCTCCGACCACGGTCACAACGGCGGCTCCGACAGGCAATTCAACAACGGCGGCTCCGACCACGGTCGCCAGCACAACTGTGACGGCTGCACCCACAACGGTGACAACTGGGGCTTCGGACACGACGCTTGATCCGGCTGCCAGCACCACGGAGGACGGCAACGAGCCAGCCGGATCAACAATTTCCATACCAAATCCACCGTCACCAAACGATCCCAATGTACCCGCACCGCCCACTCCGGCGCCCACGGTCGGCACCATCGTTCCCGGGCCACCAACTATGGACCTCTGAGCATATATATACATATATAAACCATATTTACCCATTATCCACGTGCACCTGTATTGATCTATACTTAAGTGCATTTGCTTTTGGAAATTGAATAAACTTTTCACACCCTGCAATGATTGACATACATACACACTCTGCAAATATTACCCGGCCAGGGTTCAAAAATATTTCAATTCGTTTTTTCTTATGCTTTAATTTTAATCATTCTTAAAAGAATGAGGCCTTGTTTTTTTTTTAGGAGTATATATTGTCTGAAAAGTTTCCAAATATTTTACTTTTTTCTAAAAGGCGAAAAATCACTTTTTTGTAAGTAGAAAAAAAAATTTGTATTTAGCCGGAAAATCATATTATTTTTTTTTTCAAGTAGAATATATTTGCTGAAATTAAGAACAATTTTCGCATTTTGGCGATAAAATTTAGCGCTCTTTTTTCGGATTTCTTATTAACATTCTTCTTAATGAATTTAATGCCGAGCGGATAATATTTGCTATATGGCAACTGTTTCCACCCATTTTTCAGTCTTGCAGGTTACATTTTTTTCAAAACCACATATTGGCATTCAATTTTATCACAAGAGCTAACGACAGAGACAAAATTCAGCGTCCTATCTCTTACGGTTTGGGCTGTATGTTCGTCATCAATCAGTCAATCAGTCAGTCAATCAGACTAGTATTCAGAGAAGTGCAGCAAGACCAGCTCACCAATTTATCATCGGCCTCGCGCTTGTCAGTCAGTCAGAGAAGTATTCAGATAAATGCCGCTCACCCAATTATCCTCGGCCTCGCTAGTCATCAATCCGTCAACCAGTCAGTCAGTCAATCAGACAAGTATTCAGAGAAGTGCAGCAAGACCAGCTCACCCAATTATCCTCGGACTCGCGCATGTCCAACAGGTACTGATGTGACACTAGTCATCAATCAATCAGTCAATCAGTCAGTCAGTCAATCAGTCAGTTAATCAGACAAGTATTCAGAGAAGTGCAGCAAAACGCTCACCCAATTATCCTCGGCCTCGCGCTTGTCCAGCAGGTACTGATGCGACACTAGTAATCAATCAATCAGTCAGTCAATCAGTCAATCAGTCAGTCAGTCAATCAGACAAGTATTCAGAAATGTGCAGTAAGACCAGCTCACCCAATTATCCTCGGCCTCGCGCCTGTCCAGCAGGTACTGACACAGTCGGGGTCCCAGACCCTGCGACACTAGTCATCAATCAGTCAACCAGTCAGTCAGTCAATCAGTCAAGTATTCAGAGAAGTGCAGCAAGACCAGCTCACCCAATTATCCTCCGCCTCGCGCATGTCCAGCAGGTACTGACACAGTCGGGGTCCCAGACCCTGCGACACTAGTCATCAATCCGTCAACCAGTCAGTCAGTCAATCAGACAAGTATTCAGAGAAGTGCAGCAAGACCAGCTCACCCAATTATCCTCGGACTCGCGCATGTCCAACAGGTACTGATGTGACACTAGTCATCAATCAATCAGTCAATCAGTCAGTCAGTCAATCAGTCAGTTAATCAGACAAGTATTCAGAGAAGTGCAGCAAAACGCTCACCCAATTATCCTCGGCCTCGCGCTTGTCCAGCAGGTACTGATGCGACACTAGTCATCAATCAATCAGTTAGTCAATCAGTCAATCAGTCAGTCAGTCAATCAGACAAGTATTCAGAAAAGTGCAGTAAGACCAACTCACCCAATTATCCTCGGCCTCGCGCTTGTCCAGCAGGTACTGATGCAGTCGGGGTCCCAGACCCTGCGGCGACAGGAATTGCTTGATGATTCCCTTAGTCCGTTCCAGCTGCGCCGGCGTTGTGATGGGCTCCAGGGCGAGCAGATAGTCGGCCATGGTCTGTTCTAGCGGTGGGACAGGTACCTTTGGCAGGGTCTGAAAACCAGAAAGGGTTCACTTGTATTATTTTATTTTCCATTTTGGGAACTTCTGTCAAATTGTATTTGGCTTCAACTTTCCCACTTGCGCTCTTGCTCATTTATATGCAGGACATTATGGCAGTTAAAGTACAAAAGTCCCTGCTCTAGCCGGGCACAAAAGTGTATGCCCCAGGGACCCAAATTTCAAATCACAAAAAAAGAAAAAAATAAAATGCGTAGAGTATAGGAAAAGGGGAAGGAGCAGGGAGGATTGGCATGAATCTGACATTGGGGCGTGCTGCATTAACTTCCCCCAAACTTGGCAGGCGAGCTGCTTGGCATTTTTTTTAGCATTCACTTTGCCCTGTCACGGACAACTTGAATTGAGAGCTCCGGCTCTTGAGATTCCCCAGTGGCCCAACACAATTTCATTTCGTGCGGCATTTGCTGTCGATTTGTGAAGCGGAGCAGCTGAGTTATCGATATCGATTATCCCGAATTTCGATAGTCGAAAAGAACTTTTTATAGCAACTTTCTGAGCATTTATCTATCACAATTTACGTGAATCTTCTTTAAAATTATTCAATTTGCAAAACTTTTCTCTATTCTCAAGATTTTTAAATCCTGGCAGAGGGTATCTGAAGCGGAGCAGCTGAGTTATCGATATCGATTATTCCGAATTTCGAATTTCGATAGTCAAAAAGAACTTTTTACAGCAACTGTTTATCTGAGAATTTATCTATCTTTTACAATTTAGGTAAACCTACTTCAAAGTCTCTGTATTCAGGTGTCTTGGGTTTCTTAAATCCTGTCAGAGGGTGTGTGAAGCGGAGCAAATCAGTTATCGATATCGATTATTCCGAATTTTGCTATTTTCAGCAACTGTTTGTCTACAAATGTATCTTTCTATCTATCACAATTCTAGTATTTAATTTGCGAAACTTTTCTCTGTATTCAAGAGAATATTCTTGAATCTTTGCTGGCGATTTGTAAAGCGGAACAACTGAGTTATCGATATCGATTATTCCGAATTTTTCGATAGACAAAAGGAGCTCTTTACAGCAACTGTCTGAGAAGTTATCTAACTGTCGCAATTCACTTAAATCTCTTTCAAATTCTATGCATCATAGTTATTCAATTTGCGAAACTTTTCTCTGTATTAAAGTGTCTTGGAATTCATAAATCCTGGCAGAGGGTATGACAATTATGTCACAAAATATGTAACACATTAAGACAGAGATCGTAAAATACAGGGTATGTTCATATATAATTATTTGATCAGTTTCAACGGGCTGAGTCGATATAGGCATGTCCGTCTGTTTGCTCCAGCCCCTCTTTAAAGTAATTCAGATCTGACCAACACATCATATAAGTCCTATTAGAATTGGACACAAATTTATCGCGTTGTAAATCTTTTTTAATCTTAACTGAGCTCGAAAGGATATTAAAATTGAAAAGGTTCCTGAAAAGATCTTCTATTGGAATGGATGACGATATCTTAACCATACTCGAGAACTAATAGAAAACTCCTAAAACTTTCTTATAGTTCCCTCTGGAACTATCGAAATAACTTTCGCAAAGAAAGCGTTATGTGAGAAACATATTTGATTTGAAAAATCCTTTCAACATCTTCTAAAGGAGCTGGCTGTCGGATCAAGATATCTTAATCCTAACGATATCGGATTACTATGTTATGTAAGGTTAAGAATCGATATCTTAATTGAGCTCGAACTCGGGAATTAATAGGAAACTCTTAAAAATTTCTTATATCTCCCTCTGGAACTATCGAAATAACTTTCGTAATGATTTTCATTGAAGTCGAACGAATTCTAGACTGTAAGAAAATTCCTTTCAACTTCTTCTACAGAAATAGGTTTCCGCATCAAGATAATCTCAGTCTTAACGATATCGGACTGCTATGTGAGGTTATTTTTCTGATGTTAGGGTATTAAATCTTCTGTATCTTTTTCCCAATTTGTGTTTAGTTAAAGTGTGCAGCAACTTTTCCATCTGTCATTTGACTCTGACAGCAGCCGCCCCGCTCCGCCCCGCCCTCCCGCAGCGCGGCCTTACATATTTGTATGACTATCTGTATTTTTGGGGGTTGCTCTTGTGCTTTTACAGGTGAGAGTTGGGGAGCGGGAGGGGGAGGAAGGTGGGGGGAATGTTTGTTTATGGAAGGACTGTGGGCTGGTTGTCGGGTTGTCTGGCTGCCTGGCTGTCTGGTCTTTGGTTCCGGTTGCCCCAGAGGACGGTTGCCATACAAAAGCGCTCGTTATTTGCATTTGTAATTATAACAAACAGGATTAGTCTGTCCTCAAGCGAGTGTGTCTGTGTGTGTGCGTGTGTGTGTGCTCCTGTATTTGTATTTGTGTTTGAATTTGAATTAGTCTAGTAGCAAGTTTGTCGAGCCCTTGTACAAATATTTGACGCTGCCTGCAAAGAAATTTGAAATTGTTAAATCGCATTTCACTCACATCAGGGAATCCAAATTCGTCCACAGACTCGGCCGAGGAGAGCCACTTCTTGGGTATGGACAATATCGAGTCTCTCCATCCTGCAAAAATCAAAACAAACCAAATATTAATAAAGAATTAAAAAAAAAGACCAAGGAAGAGGCGCTAGTCGGGAGTTACCGCCCAGGGAATACCCTGAATCCTCTTCTACCAAAATAAAAATAATAATAAAAATAAATTAAAAAAATGAGTTCCCTCGGTAGAGTTCGAACTCTACTCAACAGCGATACCAATAATTGAGTCTTAATGAGACAAAAACGGTTTAAAATAGAATTCAATGCAGACGCGCATGAATGTGTGTGTGTACATGTATACAGCAAGTCTTGCGCTTTGCACGTTTTCTTCAATAACTTTTGTGTTTCTTAACCGATCAGGATGAAATTTTGAACAGTAGATCTTATTGTGCTATAGAATATTTGTATGTACTCAAAAAGTCAATTGCATTAAATTGTGGCTTAAGTTGGTGGGCAATACAAGTTGGTTGATTATCTTGCTTTATAGATATGTGATTTATATATATACCCATTTTCAATGGGTTAAGAGTATAAAGAATACTTATAATAAGAGCTAGCACGCCTGAAAAAGGCGCAAAATGTTCAATCTCTTCTTCTGCTTGGAAGATCTTGTGCAGTTTTCTGCTCCGATTGATAAAGAACACGCAAAATATGCCAACATTTTAATAACATGGAATGCCACCATCCACCAATCACAAAGGCACAAAGGTATTGTTATTAAAATTGAAAACAAAAATATAATTCCGTGACTAATGAAAATGAAGCATTAATCTAAGATCCGATATCGGAATGCTTGATAAAAACCTGGTAGTTCATCAATGTCAGAAGGTTCAAGTGCCATCGGCCGGGTAGCTCCCAGAAAAAAGTGTTATCGCATAGTCTGACAGTAGGGCAGCAGAATATGGCTTATCGCACTTCACGTTTGTCAGGCTGTCGTCTAAGCCAAGAGCCAACTAAATATCAGGTAAGATTGGGCCAATGCCGAGAATTGGCCGATATCAATTTGGCAGCATGGAAACTTCAGTCATCTATCTACCACAACTATCCATCTATTTACTCTATCTATCCAAACTCTATACATCTATCTATCTATATATCTATCTAGCTATCGACCCTATCTACCCTAACTATCCAAACTCTATCCATCTACCTACCCTATCCATCTATCTTCCGTATCTATCCAAACTCTATCCAACTATCTATCCATCTATCTACCCCATTTATCCATCCATCTACCCTATCTATCCAAACTCTATCCATCTTTCTATCCAAAATCAATCCATCTATTTATCCAATTTATCCCAATTCTATCCATCTATCTATCCAATCTTCAAAAACTTTATCAAAAACTTTATCCATCTATCTACCCAAACGATCCAAACTCTATCCAAACTCTATCCAAACTCTATACATCCATCTATCCATCTATCTACCCTATCTATCCAATCTATCCAAACTCTATCTATCCATCTACCCTATTCATCTATCTATCTATTTATCTATCTATCTATCTATCTATCTATCTATCTATCTATCTACCCTATCTATACAAACTCTATCCATCTATCAACAATATCCATCTATCTTCCGTATCTATCCAAACTCTTTCCATCTCTCTATCCATCTATTTATCCAATTTATCCCAATTCCCTCCATCTATCTATCCAATCTTCAAAAACTTTATCCATCTATATACCCTATCTATCCAATCTATCCAAACTCTATCTATATATCTACCCTATCCATCTATCTATCTATTTGTCTATCTATCCATATATTTACCCTATCTATCTAAACTCCATTCATCTATCTACCCTATCTATCCAAATTGTTTCCATCTATCTATCTATCTATCTATCGTATCTATCAATCTATCTACCCTATTTATCCAAACTTTATCCATCTATCTATCCTATCTATCCCTCTATCTACTCCAATCTATCCAACCCACTTTGAAGAGCTCATTCCAAATCCAACTAGTTTTGTGTATTGTGTTTAAGATTCGAAAGCTCATCAGGAATTTATTGGCTTCCGCCATGCAGGAATGCAATAAATTTGGCCAGAAAACTAAAACTACTTGAAAGAGGAGACCAACATTTCCTTCGGTCCCTTTTTTTTTGTGGGTGGGTGTCCTTTAAAGTTTTGACTGGCCCGAGTCTGTAAGCCGAGCCGAGTGTGTAAGCACTTCCGGGTTGCCCAGAGAGACGGCAATTTCCGTTATTGGCTTTTGGCCAGATAAGTGAGGCTCTGGACTTGCGAAGCATATCACACGCATCCGCGAAGGCAGAAAATAAAACGTCAACTAATTCTAAATGGTGTGGTGTGAGGAGGGAAGGGGAGGGGGTAGAGGAGTGGGGAGTATGACACTTCCGTCGGGGGAATTGTTCCGGGTCTACTTATGACAATCATAATGTTATTAATAAAAATGGTTTTACGACAATCATGATAAAAGCAAAACGGGCTAACAGCCGCCCCCCACCCCCCCTTCCGCAAATTTAATGCAATTTATTATCCTTTTTTCATTATCTGGCCAAAGATGGCCCACTCCTAGCTGGAGGGGAGGAGGGGGATGAGGGGGGATGGGAGGGGGGCTACAACTAGCTACAGTTGTTCGTCCATTGTGGTTGCCGCCAACAATGAAGTCACGTGGCACCAATTTGAGCATCCGCTCCATTGTTGCTGTGTTCCCCCCCCCCCCCCCCCCCCAGTTGTTCTAATACCCTGTGAAAATGTATAAATAGGGCATGCTGTTTTGGTGCAGAGATATGAAACAGGCAGTAAAATAAAATAATAAATATAAAATATATAATGTCTTGCCTGAGGAGTCAATATAGAAATGTCATCTGTTTCCACTTGAATTGTATCGATATAAATCGATTTTGAAAGAAGGGTTTTTTCTTAGGCAATGGATGTTGTGAAAATAGATGAACAGTGTATATTGTTTTTGGGAAGATGTATGACACAGGCATAAGGAAGTATATAAAATATATTTGTTCTTGCTTGAGGAGTCAATATAGAAATTTCATCCGCTTCCACTTCAATTATATCGATATAAATCGATTTTTAAATAAGCTTATATCCTAGGCATAGTTTAGAAGATTGTAAGAGCTGGATATCCAGTTAAATTGGAAGAAGAGGGTATGGAAGGGGGTGGAAGAAAGCATATAAAATATATTTATTCCTGCCTGGGGAGACCCCATTTCCATAAAATCGATATAAATCGATTGTGAAAAAAGGCTCTTTTCTTAGGCATATTTTAGAAGATTGTTAGATCTGGATATGTAGGGTATGCTGGGTATGTAGGTAACTAAACTGGGTAAAGTATTTGCAGGCTAAGAATCAAGATCGTGTAATAAAAACCGAAGCTATTCAAGAATGCATTTTCCATGGAGTAAGGATGGGGAATGAAGAAGCAGAAGGGGGTATTTTTTTTTTTAATTCTTCGCAGCTGTGCCTAGGGTATCCTTCTAGTCGAGCACTAAGCACTCTGAGCACTCTGAGCTCTCCTTCTAGCACTTGCTGGTGTCACGGTTGTCTTTGCAGGAATAACATTAACCACAACCTGGCCTGGTCGACTGTCTGGTCGTGTGCCCCTTGTGGATGGGCCACGCAGCAGTCGCCAGGCCTAACGAGACTTTGAATAGGGCAACCTGCTTCGCAGTTGGCTGTAAATGATAATAAATTGCGTTAGGAAGCGTTGGCTGGCTATGGAAAATTCAAATTAAGTAATTAAGCGTGCGGTTGAGCCCCACACCAAGTGCGGACTGTGAAGCTAGTTTAATCTTTCGCTTTGAACTGGTTTTAGACAAATAAAATCGACTATAAACTGGATATCTACGAGAATATACAGCATAGCCTAGCTCTATAAATAAGCTACGACTAGCAGATACCCTGGCCCCAAGAGAGAAGTTGCCATTGGAAGCTTTTTAGCTTTCTTCTGTGAAAGATGCGCGCTTGAATTGAAACATCGGTGCTTAGAGTCCGATCTAATCGAACTTTTCAGAGTGTAAATAGGAAAATAAATGTGTGTTAATATCAAAGAGCATAAACTTACCGCTAAAAAAGAGCTACAAGTCGAGCTACAATAAATAATATACGACTAGCAGATACCCTGGCCCCAAGAGATATACCCTGGCCTCATTGGAAGCTTTTTAGCTTTCTTCGGTGCTTAGAGTCCGATCTAATCGAACGTTTTACCTCGAGAAAAGAGCAAAAAAAAATAGAATATACGACTAGCAGATACCCTGTCCCAAAGGAGAAGTTGCCAAAGAAGAATTTTAGCTCACTTCTGTGAAAGAAGCGCGCTTAAATTAAAGCATCGGCGTTTAGAGTCCGATCTAATTGAACTTTTCAGAGCCAAATGGCAACAAATGTGTGTAAATATCAAATACCTCGAGAGAAGAGATAGGAGATGACATTCGGGGTTGCTGCTAGCTGGAATTCTGTTCAGCCCAAACCCGTCGCAATGCATTCGCATCGCATTCAATTATGTGCTCTGACATGGAACACGTTTCCAATTGATTGATTGATTGATGCTCGGATTTTTGATTAGACAGACGGGCGGCTAATCAGATATTCATGCGCCATTACGGTAGACGAGGCGCACTTCCGTTTCCATTTCCATTTCCGTGCCCCAAGAATGAAGCAACCGCCCCCGCCCCCTGCTTATTGATGAATCCGTCAGCTTCAATTTGTCGATTATTTTGTCTGCTCATGATTCGATTTTGCTGTTGTTGCCAAAAGTTTTGTGGCCCTAACTCGATTTGCATTTCTGATGCATTAGCTAGTTATGATCATGCTTATAGGGCTGGCTGGCAGGAGGGGAAGGGGACGGTAAGGGGAAGGTATGGGGGCGATTCGCACCCTAACACCAACAAAAATGATGGAGCTTATTGGGCCACACGCCTCCCGTTAAACAGTTGGCAATAAAACGCTTCAATAAACCAGCTCAGGCTCATTATTAACACAGCAAAAATCACGCTTGAATTCCCAAAACCCCAACTCTGAGCCGGGTTGCGGGAGGAATG